ATCAATTCTTTATAATATACATTTATTAACTATTAAAAATTTTTCTTCCTAATTCACCAGTACCAAAACAAAACAAAAAAGTGACCCATAGCTATTAGGCTCTGTACCTGGGAGGTCCAGCTTTGAATTAAGTTTTGGTATTGGGGAAGCAGGTATTTGTGGAGGAAAAAATGGTAGCAGAGCTCCAGAAGTTTCACTTAGTTGGGACAAACATCTTTTGATGTATACTCTTGTTTCAGTTCTCCAGCACCAAACTGTCATGGGCCAAAGGTCTATGTGTAACAATTGGCAATGTGCTTCTATTTTAGATTAGGTTTTAATAGCTACATATGGTAAGGGGGACAGTGTAAACAATCAGCCAGCTCACTTGAAAGTGACCACTTAAGTGATACAGAAAATTAATAACGATCTTAAAAAAAACAACAACTTATTCACCTTGGGTAGTGCACATCAACTATCTTTTTACCAATCTTAAAACACCCCACGCCTTCTCTCCTACTGCAATATAGGAAGTCTCCACTGTGTATCTTACAACTCTCGAGTTCTATCCTTGGCTATATTCATTCATTTCTCATTTCTATTCTTAGCCATATCCATTCATTTCTGTCTCTATACTCTACCCAGTAAGTTTCATCTACTCTCCCAATCTGAACTATGTAGATGATCCTGAGTCTTCATATTCATACATAACCTGACCTTTCGGGCTTTATTCAGATGTTCTAATTACTTATTAGGCTGGCTATCTGGATAATTACCATCGCCAAAACTGAAAATAATCTCCCCCAGCTATTCCTCCATAATCCTATTCATTCATTTCAAAATGTCAAGGTTACGTCTGACCTTTTCCACTTCCTCTGAGTGTGATTAATTCATTCTTTGCAACATTCCTCGCATCCTTTCTCTCCTGTTACTACAGCCACCATGCTAATTCAGGATCTTCACACTTCATATAGAAACTGGATTATCACAACATTTATGACTATTCTTCCTGTTATGAAACAGAGTAGTCTATTACCAGTAAGTGATCTACCATATCACTACATATTACTATACCTATGACAATTGTGATTATGGTCCTTGACTACACGATCAACTCCAAAGTCTTTAACCTTCAGTAATTTAGCTTTGAAATTTTTCATCTTGCCTCCCCTCACACTTCTATATAAATTCCCCGTTTGGCCAATCTGCTCTATTTAACATCCAAAAAACATATTCTATGCATTTCCTGTGCCATTTCCTCCATCTGGAATACATCATGTTTCTGATTCTTTGAGGTTCATATTAAACACTGCCCCAACTAGAAGTGTTCTCACAGAAAGTTCCAGCTGAAGGAAGATCACCTCCATCTGCAAAAAGAACTTTAAAAGATCATCTCCTCCGTCTATGAAATCAAAATGTTTAGGGAAACTGAGGCCAAAGGACAATACAAATACTTTTCTTTCTGAACATTCATTTTTCCAACATTTTTTCTTGTTTCCTATGTGCTAGTGGGAGCTGTGCTAGTTACACAGGCTTAGAGTTTTGTGAGAAAGGCTGACTACCCATAAATTATCACACAAATAATTAAATTTGGATGAGTGCTTCAAAGAAAAGGAGAAGGGCAGAGTATGTGTAATTGAGGGAAGAGGTGAGGCATAAAGTTTAGTAAGGGAAGACAGGAAAGGGGTTACTTTGGTTTAAGAGCATATCTTCCCTCAGTGGGGAGAAATCTTTTAACTCATCTATGCCTAGTGTTCCATTATTGGAATGCTAAGCTTGTGGGAGTTATTTATATCCTGCTGCTCAAGGTCATTGCCAAGGTCTGATTTTTCACAAAAAAAAATTGCAACCTCTGGTATAAATGTGTTAAGCAGGGGTGAGGGTGAAAGATGGAGTAGGAATTAACTCTGGGAAAAGGTAGATTTCTACAGGCCAAAGGAGAGCCCAGAGAAAGGCACTTTCAAGGATTTAAGGTCTGGGTGCTAGAGTAAAAGGACGGTTTCAAGAGATGCACAGGCAGGGAGGGATAAGAGCAAGCTGGGCTGTGAAAGGTCATGTTGAAGATTTCTGGACTTTTTCCTAACAGCAAACAGGCCTTGTATATCACGTTCCAAGAACTTCACGTCAGAACCATGGCTGATCCTGGCATGGGTAATAATGAGAAAAGCAATTACAAAATCAGAAAAAATTCTAGTTTTATTTCAACTGAAAAACATTTCCTATATCCCTATTACTTTTCTTTGTGTGTGTAATGTCACCCAAAATCAAGTTAAGAAAAGAAAGCATATGAATTTACAAATATAGCCATTTTCAGTTGGTCCACTTGGCTTTGATAAGAGGTCGTGTATGTATATGGAGGTATGTACACTTATAGACACTTAAGGGAGTATGGGTCAGTTTTATATTTCTTAAAAGTGAAATATTTCAAGTAATAGAAATCCTTGAAAATGACTGCTATTATTTGAAATGAAAATGAAAAATGAAAAGCTCCATTCGTCGTTTGGCTATGCATTAGTGCTGTGCATTATTGCTACACTGTACTTGAAGTTAAATGTTCATTCTCATGCCCTTTTCCATCAGATCCTTCATAAGAGAAAATATTTAAAGAGAATACCAACACAGTTCTTCCAAGGATTATTTTAACCTCATTGCTTTTTAGTCTCATCTTGCCTATACTAAATAATGAATTCCAAAATGCAATTACAAATTTATTTCTTCTAAAATTACATTTATATCAAGGGTAAAATTTAAGGAAGATAAATGACAAAGTTATTAAAGTAAGAACGACAGCTAGAATTTTTTGAGCAACTTCTGTGTACTAGGTATTGTTTTGGGTATCTTAAAATACATTATCTCGTTTAATTCTTACAAGGACTCTTGAAGGTGCATATTAATCTCTATTTCACAGATAAGGAAACCGAAGTTTAGAGAAATAAGCAAGCATTTCCCCAAATCATATACACCGTAGACCTCTGTTGTCCAATATGGCAGCCTGTGGCCACATGTGGCTACTGAGCACTTGAAATGTGACTTGTTTGAATTGAGATGTGCTACGTCAAACACAAACCAAACTTCAAGGACACAGTATAAAAAAGTAAAGTATCCTGTCAATAATTTTCGAATATTGACATGTCGAAATGATTCTATTTTAAATATGGTGGGTTAAATAAAATACATTATTAAAATTAATTCCACATATTTATGTTATTTAAAAAAAATCAGCTACTAGGAATGTTAAAATTACATATGTGGCTCACGTTATATCTCTATTGAAAAGTGCTGACCTAGACCTAAAGCTGAATACTGAATTTGACAGTAGATATCAAATACTGAGGGGCCACCTGCATTCACACGTCCTCTCCATCAATGATGGGAAGCCAGATGCTGGGATTATGATGAGGTGTAAAATACCTTACTACTACCATATTACAAAGACACACAAGTGAGGGTCCAAGAGGTTCTTACGTATACAATGGTTGAATTTTGGTGAAAGAATTTATGAACTCTACTTCAGCTGATCAATGATCTTTTTATATCAAGAACTGAGACTAGTGAGTAAAATGATATCTGGGCATGCAGAATTTTACTCTTTTTTTCCTCTGGGCCATAATGAAAGTAAATACATTGCTCCAATATACTGAGTTTAGACTAACCTATTATTATAACTGAGAAAAGTAATCTGCACTAAATTACAAGAAACTACAAAATTATGTGGACCATATTATCCAATAATATTTTGCCATATTTGTTCCCTAGGCTTCAAGAAGTTAGCCATGGGTATGTGGCTTTATCATTGTATATCTGCATCTTCATATCTTTATACCTGCATATCTAAATGTGAAGGGTGAGGAAGTTGGGACATTTACTTAGATTATTTTTTGACGTATGCATTTAGCCTAACATTAACATGTGGCGATGTATCAGACTACCCTGCAGTTGGTTTGGTTTGGTTTGGTTCTTTCTAATTGTGTGGTATTGGGGGAGGGGGTAATAAGGATTTAAGTCACTTAAATGTAGCCCCTTAAATGCCATCCTCATACTAAGTTTAACTTTAGGAAAATGATACTGGAGAAGTAAAAAGCTATCAAATTCGCAAATCTTAGCAGCAGAGACCACGAAAGTATCTGCTTTATTCTAGTTTGGAATTTAACACAA